AAGGCAACAATACAAATGGATATCTAGTTTTTCAAGATGTATCTAGACTCAATTGATCTCTTCAAGTGGAATTCACAAGTAGTGTCTAGATCAACTCATAAGTGATATACTACAAATGGTACTCATGAAGATAGCAATTGTTCAAGAAATGATTTCTATTGACAAATAAATCATATACATGGCATCACATCTCTACACATGGTATCAACCATACAAGAAGGTGGTTCCACAAGTGATCCTCAACTTTAAGTGATCATCAAATGAAGAAAGTTTCCACACATTCAAGAGCTCAAGATTATCAAGTGAATGACCCATACTTGGACATAGGGGGAGGAGCCCCACTACAATTGGTATCAAGGTCAAAGATTCTACACATGGTGTCTAAAGAGCTATACAAGCAATGTCCATAAAAAATGCAAGATTCAAGTGTCAACCAGCTACCCCAATGCAATCCTTTGTATCAATAAGGAGCACACCTTTTATGGAAATTGATGACAAAGGGAGAGAAGTTGGAACAAAGATATGTAAATGCATCATGGGGAGAAGGAGAAGTTGGACATGGACAAAGAAGGAGCAACATTAAACATTTGAGAAGGATCAAAATTCTTGGACAAGAGATGCACACAAGTAGGGGGAGCAAGCTTATGAACTTTGATTGATTGCATTTGATATGTGCATATTCATGTGCTTGCTTACATTAGCATAAGTTTTTAAACTTGAAATGCATGCTTGTGTGATGTATGCTAGTTGTAGAATTTGATTGATGATATGATAACTAGCATGCATAGATTGGTAGCTAGACTTGTATTTCTACACGTGGTACTAAAACCTTGCTTATAATGTTGATCTCATAGGGTTTCTAGTATTCTTATTGTCTAGCTACTCATGATGCTAAGGATGGTGTCCTAGGGGCACCGTCAACCCCTGTCCGGTGCACCGCCACCCTAGTGGTGGTGACCGGCTGGTCGAGGCCGAGAGCAGGGGTTGGAGCTAGCACCACCATACCTTGTCTCGATGGCACCGCCACCCCTAGGGCGGTGCCCACCTAGACTTGGTTTCGAGTAGCAGGAGAAGGGATGTCACCGGACGTGACGGTGTACACCGCCATGTGCAGGGCGGCGCATCGCCAGGTGTTGTTTGGTGGCACCATCACTTTTTCCCCCAAGGGTGGTGAGTTCGATGCTGAGGCGAGGGGGTCATCGCCACGGTCACCGCCATGGTGATGGTGGTGCACCGCCCTATTTTTTTAGAGAGAAGGGTTTTCAGGGTGTTGGCTGGGGTGGCACCGCCATCCCCCATCTGGTGCCACCGTCGCCTGTTCGGTGACCATGGCTAGTCAAACTAGCCATTGGATTCGACCGTTGGGGGGCACCGCCACCCCATGTACGATGACCGCACCATCGTGTTCGATGCCCTCACAGAAAGTGTAGCTTTGCTCCAACGGCTCTATTTGGCTTGGGGCTATAAATAGAGGTGGAGCTCGAGCATTTGGCTGGTTGAGCACATTGGGGATGTGTTGCCCTTGTGTGTGCTTGGTTTGATAAGCCTCTAACTCACTTATGCTTGTGAGAAGTTCGAATCCATTGCGAGTGAGTGATTCTAGTGTGTTGCATTGTAAGATTGCATCGAGTGGCACTAGGTGATCGAGTTACAAGCCGATGATGCTTGTTACTCTTGGAAGTTACCACCTCCTAGATGGCTTGGTGGTGGTCTCATCGAAGCACACAAAGAAGATTGTGTGGTACTTCGAAGAAGTGATTGTGAGGGGTATTGTGCTCACCCCGCGGGAGCCGCGAAGAGCAACTCTAGTAGAGCGAGATGCGAAAGGCAACAAGTGGTCCGACCATGTCAAGTGATAGAGCTTGTGATAAACACTCCACGTGGGAGAGTGTGACTTGTGGGTCATCACTAGCAAGAGGATCAGCAACAACCTTGGAGCTTGTCTCAATGGGGACTAGCTTGGTGGCAACCAAGTGAACCGCGGGATAAAAATCATCATGTTATCCTTGTCTTCCCGTTGGTTTACATTCTCATTACACAAGCTTACATTTACTTCATTTACATTATGCTTGTGTAGTTGCTTTTGTAATTAGTTAGCTTATGTAGCTTGCTAGTTACCTTCTTGCTTGTGTAGCCTAGAAGTAACTCTCTTATGTGACTAATTTGGTTTGAGTAACCTTGTTAGTCGCATTGCTTAGTTTATATAGCTAAGTATTTTGCGCTCTATGATTTGGTTTGTGTAGCCTTGTTATTGAGCATAGCTAGTGAGTTTAGGTGGCTTTGTGCTTTTACTTACTAATTTGTGTAGGAGCTCTCCCGGTTGTCAAAGTACTAGTGCATAGGTTTGTGTGACCTTGCTCTAGAATTGATTATGTGAGTTCTAGCTAGCCCGGCACCTTTGTTGTTTAATTTGGATCTTTGTAAGGTGCTTGTAACTTAGATAGAGGGGTGTAGTCTTGGCTAGACCGATAGTTTTAATTCCACATTTGTTACGGTTAGCCGACGTAATTAATTTTAGAAAGAACTATTCACTCCTCTCTAGTCCGCCATCTCGACCCTACAATCTTTTAGTTTGCTATGAAAAGCTTCTAAAACATATTTATGCATTGATCATAATGTTCTAGGAATTTTCATGTTTTTTTGTTTTTTTCTATTTTTAGTGCTAAATCTAACCTTTTGAGGCTCATAAAGATATTTTTATTACATTTAAATATTCTATTTGAGTTTAACATATTCCAATCTATTTCTAGGATTTTATCAGAAATTTTAGAATTTTAGAGGCATTTTTGTGATATAAAAATCTTAATCAAGTATTTACTAGAAATTTTTTAATAAAAAGGGCAAAACCACATTCAAAACTCATAAATGGAGAGAAGTTTAGGAGCTCATATGTGTGGTTTGGGGTCAAGGAAAAAGTTTCAGACTTGCTAGCACCAGGGCGCTGCTGCGTAGAGCAAGAGAGCGCACTAGCAGTGGGCCCGGACGTCGCCCACACCGCTTTGAACGTCGTCCGCTTCTCACACGCATCCCATGTGCAACACTTGATCTACTTTTAAAATATTCAGATGCAACAGTTGCAACATACAAAAGAAAATAAATGAAACATTTAACAAGTGGTGAAACACTTGCAAAAACGTCTGAAAAATATTTGAAAATTATTATAAACATATGCAACATTCAAATGAGACACTCACAACACATACGTATGAAACACCTGAAAACACTTGAAACATATGCTTGCAACATGCATGTATATGCAACATCTAGATAAAATACTTGGAACATACACTTTAAACATACATGTATAGCCATTACAACATGCGCAACATCCCGATATAATTTTGCAACATCGATGTACAACACTTGCAACATACACTTGAAACATCTGAAACACTGAAAACATACTATTGCAACATGAGCTTTCAGCGTAGCATCTACTTCCTGCTTAGATGAATGGAGGCTCGTCGGTGTAGAGCTCGTCGGCGGCACAAACCTCGGCAGGGACAGAGGCAGGGGCAGGTGGATGGAGCGTGGCCGCGACGGGAGGCGTGAGTCTGGGCAGGGCGGCGCGGCCGAGGGTGGGGTCCGTCCCGGAGCAAAGGCACGCAGCGCGCTGAGCGAGCACGCGACACGGCAGGGGGCAACACGGGCGATGCACAAAGCGAGCGGGTGACTTATAGGGATCCGTTCGGACGAACGGACCACCTATAAGCAGCATTACCGAAGAAGTTTAGATTACAACGATAGTTTAAATATTTAATGAGGTAGAATGGACCTTTTCTTTTGCGAAAAATTACAAAAGAAATGCGTGAAAAGGCCCGTGCGGCTGCCTCTCTCCCTGGAGTCCTGGACCGAACAACGCCGGACTGGGCTACCGCCGTCCGCCGCAGGCCCGCGTGCGCTGTGTCTCTCCCCACGAGGCACGACTACACACGGATGCGTTCACGGAATCACGGTTGGGTTTATCCAGCGAGGCCGCGACCTGCGTGCGCGCTCTCTCTCTCTCTTTCTCTCTTTCTCTCTCTCTTCCGCCACCCACCCGCTCTGGGCCTGCGCCGCCTCCACCGCCCTACGCCAGGTGGCGAGGCCTTCGTCGGTCTTTTCACCGGCGACGAGCACTCACCAGGTATTCCCACCCCTTCTACTCCCTTCCTGCGTGCGAAACCGAGCACCCAAACCCTAACTTAAAAGCTATTTGGCTATTTCCTTTGATTGATGATCCCTACTAGCGTAGAACTTTGTGCAAAAACTATCGGGTGTACACATCAATGTCGCTTTACTGGGTCCGCCCCTGAGTGGCTGGGGTGGCGGGCTGGCAGCACTAGTCCTTGCTCCTTAGCAGCTGGAGCGGTCGCTGTTCTGTATGCTGGGCGTGATGGGTATGCTGTTTGAACCTATAAACTTTTGGGTGATGTTTTCGTTTTGCAGCTGAATGGAATTGTGGTGGTTTCCCTTTGTAGTTTTGTGTCCAGGCACTTGGTGTGGTAGTTATTTTTGGTGTTAGCTCAGTAGAAGTTCAAATCTAATTTTAGGATGCCAACCACAGAATCTGTTGTTATATTGCAGTAGTTGACACCCTGGTTATTTCCTGAAGCAGATGGAGGAACATTTGATTTGAAATTTGTGTAGCCAGATTTTGCATCCCTTAGTTTATCAGCTTGGCGTCCTTGGATCCATGGAAGTGCTCCAGTGCAATTACCATTAGAGGAAATTTCAGGTGTATGCTTCTATAGGTATTTATTAGGATAGTGAAAATTTAAGTGATAAGGAGATATGGTTCATCCTTTGTTTGTCATCATTGCTAACAATTTTGATATTATCCTCATTTTCTAGCATAAATTTCATTTGTACGAAAATAAAAACATCTGAACCATATTAACGCTTTTGTTATGTGGGCCTGTGAAACTTGCATATTAATTTGATTTCACATTTCAGGAAAAGAATTGTCTGGCATCTTTTTTTTTCCAGAAGTATTCGTGTCAAGTTGGTACTAAAGTACTATGTCAGGGATTGCAACAATTTGGCGTCGATCATTTCAATCAGCTGCTAGTCAGACTCTAATGGAGACATATTTTGGCCCGTCTGTATCTTCTGGTGCTGTGAGGTGGTTCAGCAGTGGCGCTAAGCACTCAAGAAAACCTGACTTTTCTGTTGCTAACCAGATTAAGGTGGTGGATTGGTATTCTGCAGTTAATGATGTGTCAAAGATCAGAAGGTTGCCCCTTTCATGCCGTATGGACACTAATTGGTTGATTGCTTCAAAGTCCAGACATGGTGCATTGCCAGGATTCTTAGGTGTTTCAAGCTTCCATCGTGGATACTCCTCAGATACTGGAATCAAGCCAGAAGCTTCACAGAGTGCTGTCTCTAATCTTCCTTCTACAGAAAGCTCTGAGGTTGGCACTGCAGGTGGTGGTGGGGGTTCATGGATTGAGATCTTGGATAATGCTCGCAAGTCTACTGTAGATGCTACCACTGATGCAGGCAAGAAAGTCAAGGAGCTGACTGATGCAGTTGCACCTCATGTCCAGCAGCTATTTGATACATATCCAAATCTTGAAAAGGTAGTTCTTCCACTTGGCGGAACACTATGTGGTACAATGATGGCATGGTTGGTCATGCCTATCATTCTAAGGAGGCTTCACAAGTATGCATCACAACGTCCTATAGCAGCACTTCTGGGGAACTCAACCAAGAATGATGTTTCATACCAAACTAGTCTCTGGTGTGCATTAGAGGATCCTGCAAAATATCTGATCACATTCATGGCATTTTCAGAAATGTAGGTTTCTACTTAACTTTATGAAAGAAATTTATCTTTTCTGTGTCCTGAACTTCTGATAGTTGTGTTCTGTGCTAAAGATATTTTCTTCAGACATTAGCTTTTTAGAGCTAGTTGAATGTCTCATATCTTATTTTAGAAAAAAACTTATAGTGGTTTCAGTACTGCTGCAGTCATTTTGTTCTTTTCTGAAGAAACTAGAGATATGCAACTACTACTTACTAGAATAAGCATTTCGAATATCGATGTTTCTTCAATGTTGTCTAAGTTCCATCACAATATACATTGTTTTTTTTTACCTTGTTGATTCTTGTTTGTTTATTAATGCTGCCATGCCGGAGGACAGAATGCTTTTTTTTTCTCTACCATGGTGTTAGTAATTATGGTCTGGTGAAAAAGTGTCACATATAATGTTGTATTCTGGATGCTTATATTTGTGGTGGTTCTCTTCCATAGGGCCACACTTATTGCACCAAGCATATCAACTTATCTTCCGCAGGCATGGAGGGGTGCATTTGTTCTGTCTTTTGTATGGTTCCTTCAGAGGTGGAAAACCAACTTCATTGCTAAAGCTATGGCTAAACCAGATGTCTCGAGTGTTGACCGCGATAGGATTTCTGCATTTGATAAGGTTTCTTCATTGGGACTGATTGGACTAGGAGTAATGGGTCTTGCTGAAGCTTGTGGTGTAGCTGTTCAATCAATATTAACTGTTGGTGGTGTGGGAGGTAATATACTAACTTTCACAAGTAAATTCCTTATTTACCGCTGGAATTTAGCTATATCTCTGCTCTTCCATCCAAAAGTGTGCCCATTTCACTGCCTGCATTGGTAAATCAAGAATTCAGGATTTTGTTACACTAAATAATTCCTAGATCTTTTCAACTTAGAACACATGAAATGTAAATAGCTCGATACGCTAATGTTGTGCATGGGGACTATCAGATTTGCACCTTGGAAACACATCTGGAAAAGTTGGTACCCGCTGCGCTGCAAGTTCTTCATTTGGCTTGCTATTGACAACAGATGTTGGACAGCTGATTGCCTTGCTAAGAGAGGGCTACCACATCTGGCAGCCTGCGCCCTCTGTGATCAAATGGATGAAACAATTCAGCACACGCTCGTCTCTTTGCATTCTTTGAAGGCAGGTTTGGGCAAGTGATCTTCCAGAGGCTGGGTCTAATTGCTTTAGCGCCTGAACCTTATGTCTCTTGTTTCTCTAGTTGGTGGTGCAATGCTATCATGGGGCTACCTAGAGTCTTGAGGAAAAGACTCAATACTTTGATCATTATGGTAGCGTGGGAAATTTGGGAACATAGGAATTCTTGTGTCTTTGAAGGAGCTAGCTCGTGTCCAGGTGGTGCGTTGCACGAAGTGGGAGATGAATATGTCCTTTGGTGCTCTGCTGGAGCCTCGGCTCTCAGCGAACTCCTCTCTAGGTTGCTCCCCCGGACCTTCTGTCCTGAGATGTCTTTTGGCCGAGGTCGTTTTATATTTCATTTTTGTAATAGGTGCTAATGGAGTTGGGTCATGGAGAGGCCTCTTGGTCTCTCGTACTATTTTTTTTTCTTAATGAAATGACACGCAACTAAAGGCTATGTTGTTGTTGTTGAAATGACACGCAACTCTCCTGCATTAGAGAAAAAAAAACGTTGTGCTCAGGGAAATATTGTACTTGTGTTGCCCTTGTTTCTGAAAGAATCTCTTACTCGAGTACAGTACATTTTTAAGCAAATGATCCTTTTGTTTTCTTCCCTATTACAGTATTGCAATTAGTTACTGCAGAAGGAAAACAGTAGTAGTTATGTCTGGACTGAGTTTTGACTCCTATATAGCTATATGGGCAAAATGCAAAAATAGTGGTTTGAATTTTTTTGTTCAGTAGCCTGCAAGTAATATTATATGTACGCTGACTGCTCTGTATAATTATACCTATTACTTTTTTACTGAAGTAGATAATACTTTTATATTTTTAACATTACTGAAATTATCTTGTGTTTCTTATACTTTAGGTGTTGCTACTGCTTTTGCTGCTAGAGATGTCCTTGGTAACATTCTGAGTGGGTTCTCCTTGCAATTTTCTAAGCCATTCTCAGTTAACGACTACATAAAGGTGCCTTCATATTTATTTGATGTTTTTTATTTGACACTTGCTGAAACGATGGATTCATAAGTTCTAAATTTCATTCATTTCACTTGTGGACACTGTAACTATGGATAAAATATTAAATTCTTGTTTCATGATAGATGATAATTTGTGCCGTGACTCGCAAGTACTGTGAGATTCTCAAGCAATTACTTGTGGGATACTGGAGTAAAAAGATGTGTTGTAATTTGTAATGGATGAGAAAAGAAGGAACATTACTAGTCAATGGAATGATATCCTGATTTCAGGATAAGCCATTGCTCGTTGCTAGGATGTGGCCATCTTAAAAGATACTTTGCTTGGAGGATTATGTAAACTATAATTTGGTTTGTACTGAGATAAAGCACGGTTAGTAAGCATCCAAACTGAAAATTCATAAAGATGTCTCAACCTAATGGATGCCACTGATGGTTATTAAGGAGCTTTATAAGAAGAAAACATAGACGTGGGGAACTGTCCATATAATTGTTGGCATACAGGATGCCGTATGCTTTTCCTAAATTGCTAGTTTGATTAATGCTTCTCATGTGTTTATGCTGTGAGCACATGTTAGTCTATATAAAAAGGGCGTACCCAGTGCAGAGAGCTCCCGCTCTGTGCGGGGTCTGGGGAAGGGTGTCAGTGGCAAGCCTTACCCTCGCCTGTGCAATGTGAGGAGACCGCGACTCGAACCCGGGACCTTCCGGTCACAGGCGGTAAGACTACCGCTTGCACTAGGCCCGCCCTTCACATGTTAGTCTATATGCACGAGAAATTTCAAGAAACACCATCCTTCCCTCTTGTGTTTGCAAACAATAATAAATGGTCAATTTGGACTGGTGATGCTTATCTTCCATCCCTTTTTATGTTCTCACTATGTTCTGAAGTTGCAGTCTCGCATTTGCTAATAGGAGTTTTACATTTTAGGCCGGGCCAATAGAAGGTAAGGTGGTTGAAATTGGACTCACTTCTACTTCATTGATCAATCCAGAGAAGCTCCCTGTCATAGTACCCAACTCTTTGTTCTCCAGTCAGGTATGGTAACAGTTTCTGTTACTGGATATTTCTTAAACTAACAAGTGTGTGGACAAAGATGCCCATCATTGCACATGCTGTCATCTACAAATTAGTCCTTTGTGTTGTGCCTACATGGTGGCTTACAAGTTATGGAATATACAGTAACACATTTGTTACGCCGTTTTTACATGCGTGCATTTTCATATCCTAATTTTGCTGTGTGCATTATCTTGTATATATAATATATCATGCAATGAAGAAAACATGGACTTACCCTACTTGAGTTATTGGCCCCAGAATTTATATTGAGTTAATGCAGTAATCACTATAAGACCACAAACGGGACCCCAAATGTGCACACTTTTAGGGCATGTTTGGATCGGAACCTGAGCCAGGCAACTCTGGCCAGGCAGCAGACCCAGCTGCAGGCGTTCAAAATCGAACGCTTGAGTGAACTGCCTGGACCAGGCAGTGCTGGTTAGGAACCAAGCAAACAGGTCCTTACTCTAGCATATGCATCTGTTTAATGATTTGCTCTACCAGCCATGGTTCATGAATCACTGTTGACCCAGAAATGCGTTTTAACTGCAAAAGCTACTCACATTCTTTTTCCTAGTTAAATTTGAATTTAGATTTTTTTGGAAACTGATTTTAGACTTCTAGTTGGAAACTTGGAATGCACAACTGCTAAAGCCACTCCAAATTGGAATGCACAACAGCATATGAATTTTGTATGATTTATGATTTTATATTCTTTGAAATATTTGGAAAGATTTTTTCTAGTGGAAGTTTGAGGAAACATAAATATTGCGTCAAATGCTTTTCTGTTGATTGAAAAAATTCTGAAAATTCATTCAGTTGTAATATATTCGGAATGATGCCATGAGGAATTGTTCTGCTGTGTCCCTTGTTCTTTGGCATGATTGGTAGGGGGGCATACCTTGTATAATGACACGGTATTCTAAATAACTTGCAGATGATAGTTAACAGATCACGAGCTAATTGGCGAGCTAGTGTGACAAAGATTCCTATACGAATTGAGGATATTGAGAAGGTTCCTTCTGCATCAGAGGAGATAAAGAATATGTTAAGGTCTAATCAAAATGTGTCCTTTGATAGTGATGTTCCTTACTGCTATCTCTCGAGATTGGAAAGTTCATATGGAGAGCTCACCATTGGATGCAACCTAAAAAACATGGTATGTTTGATTTATTCTAAAGTTATGCTGCTTAGTGCCGCATTAGCATGGGTTTATGATCTGTCATCTTACCTCCTTAAGCACGTGTCAAAAGTTTAGTAAGACAATATGAAAGTATTATTACACATGTCACTTTAGTATGTTGTTCTCATAAAAATAATTATGTTTGAAGTTAAAATTGTTTAACTAAACACGTTCTTGGAACACGCTTGTTTTGCATCATAGGGAGTATGACTTGTCATTGTTGGTTATCATGACAATGGTAGTTTTGTGCATAAAACTATGCTAGCTTGTTACTATTAACTCACTGCAAGTTTGGAATAGTCCTTTCCTCTTTGAAGCCTGACACAATATTCTGTATGTTTTACAGAGAAAAGATGAGTGGCTATCTGCCCAACAAGAAATTCTTTTGGGAGCTGCCAGGATTATCAAGTCACATGGCATTGAATTGGGAAGCACCATGCAGTGTTGTTAATTCATGCTTCCGGGACTTTTAAGTAGGGTAAGTACATCAATATTTGGCTCTTTTAACTTGTAGATGCATGACTGCTATGCTAAAATCCATGAAGCTGTAAGCTGTATCAAGTTACATGTAGCGTTTCTTCTTTGGCCCCTGGGTTAAGTACTTTTTTTCAGTTATTAAGTTTATGCCGAACCATGAGAGCATCGTATGGTTTATGGTTTTCCTAATTCTCACAAACTTCTGCAACTGCTATTGAACAGTTTGCTTGTTGGTTCATTGTAACCTGCATGCTAAAGACTTCATTGCATGTTAGGCATATTCGTCTCGAAGCTTTGATTTATCAGTACCAACTTTTCGTGTATATCTTCACTTTCTCACTTTTTTGACGAGGGATTGCATTTATTTGCAGGTAAATACCTTTAGCCTGCAGAAGTCTAGAACTATACATACAGACGACACCTAGGAGTTTTGCTTACGGGGTGCGAAGGTAAAGACATCAGTGTTTTATGTCTTCACAGACCATCGACACCCACTACCAATACTGTTTTGTTACTGCCTTTTCCTTTGGAACTAAGGCCCAGCCCCCCTTTTGTGGTCTTCCGTTTTGGTTGGTGCTTGGATCCGTTTCTGGGGAGCTTCGTTATCCAATGTACACTGGTGAACGTTTGCTCCGCGGGCCGTGTGGATGAGCCGTGAGAGGATTATTGCTCATTTCTGTGAAATATTGGGTTTTAACCTCGAATTTTAAGTGTTTGACGTAGTACTCGAACTGTCTAGCTTGATAGTCGACCATCTCGAAGCAATTGATGTTTGACAGCCCATTTCTGAGGACTTGCATGCCACAGGATAGATTTCACGCTGTTTTACCATGCTGAACGTAGAGTACTGCTGCCTGCCACGATCAGCATGTTTCTACTGTTCTACTTTCACCTTTTCTTTAATTCTCGGAACTCACTATGCCGGCACGTATATCACCTTAATTCACAAAAAATGTGGCGTGGTCTGTGTCGTAGATAATGCGGGACACGCTTCTTACCGTGATTGTTTTCATGCAATACTCTGTATTGGTTGACAAAAAAAATGTGGTAGAATTTTTTCAGCTACTATTAGTGACAAACCAATGAAGCCAAGAGGTTTGGTGAGTAAAGCCATGTACGGTTATTTGGGGAATTGATTCTGTCTGCAAGTATCCCGAAATACCCCGAGCACACGCATCTAGAACTCGGTCTAGATTGAGAAATAAAGGAGAACTCTGTCTAGATTGAGAAATAAAGGAATAAAAGGATCAAGTTCAAACTTCTGGGAACTAGTGGTAGACTGGTAGTGCATTGCCTGCATAAAGGAATCCAGTTCAAACAAACCTGTTTACATGCTGCCTCCCAGGAAGCTCTGGCACCCGGCAGCGTCCGGCCTGGGATCGCTTGCCTAGTGGCATTTGCCTGCTTCTCTTCATATCGTTTCCATGAGGTAAGGGCAGTTCTCAACGAAAGAAATTAGTAGTTTTTATAACATAGGATATCGCATACTAAAAAAAAATATTGCTTTTCCAACCCATGATTTTTATGAGTAATAATTATTTTATTTTTTTCTCTTTAATTTTATCTTTTTTCTCCAATGGGAGTGCGGCACGAGTCCCCTAGAAACTGATGGTTTCTCTCCAATGGCGATTTCATGGATTTTCTTGGTGCATTGGGTCAAGAGAAGACCTGATTTTTTCATGAGGAAACCATTTATAGGATTTTTGTTCTCTTTCTTCATTAATTACGTTATCATGTCAATATTTTACCTATGTGGCAAGTCATTTAATAAGGATAGAAGCTATCATCAATACATCGTTGAGACTGCCCTAACAAACAAAGAGTGTGGTTCATCTTTCAAAGCGAGGTTGGTTGATACGAGTGCAAGATGTACTCCCTCCGTCCGCATAACAATGCAATCCTAGTTTCCCGAGGTAGAATTAGTGGAACCGAGAAATGATGCATGTGCCCTTGCTACATTCGCTTCAGTTCACACTGTAGCAGACACCGTCAGACATGAAAATAACTGCATTAGGTTGTCTCCACGACCGCAACCTAAAATATAAGACCTATTTATTCTTTGGGTATATAGGTAAATAATTTAATGCCTATTTTTTATCTTGTCCAACAAAAAGATCTTAAAAATAATTTTTTTTTGCAAATAGGTCTATAGGAGAGAAGATACTCAGATTTAGATACATAAGATACTCAGATTTAGATTATGTATCTTCTAGCATATAAAATAGATCTTCTATATAGATACTCTGTTAAAGACTATAGATATTATATCATAGACTCATCTTAGATTTAGGTTCCGCAACAGATGAAGATAGCCTTACCAATACCAAAGCACACAGGAGCAACAATTTAATGCACAGCCATGCAGTCCCTTGCATATCAGCCACACACTGCAATATTTTAATCAATCCTGGCGTGAATGGACAGCATGCATACAAGGGTGTTTGTTTGGTGCTGTTAAAGTTTAGCTCCTATCAGCAGTTTGATACATATAGAGTATTAAATATAGATTAATTATAAAACTAAATATACAGATTGAGATTAATTTACAAGACGATTTTTTAAGCCTAATTAGTCTAAGATTTGACAATATGGTGCTACATTAACATATGCTAATGATAGATTAATTATGCTTAATTAATTCGGCTCGTGTAGTACAACCGAAATCTGTAATTTGTTTTTTATTAGTATGCGAATATCCCACGCAACATCTCATGTGATATCTAATATGACACATTTTAAACTTTAGTCTATGTACCAAACATCCTCCTAGGTTAAGCTACTAATACATAGTATAGCTATATTTGTATTTTTTTCTCGGACATGGCTTACTCCTTATTATTGTATTCTTTGGCGGACAGTTTGAAACCAATGTCAGTCTCATAGATTCATACGTACGGCAGCATGGAGGCTTCTGGGTTTGCATGCCCGCAAGCGCAACAGCAGGAATACTGAAATTGACACACGCCCCGTCAGCATAAAATAGTCGGTGAGGCTATATTATCGTGTTGGCTCGATTTATAAACTGTACTTTTTTAATTAATAAATAATATTTTTTCTCATAATAAATCAGTCAATGATTCTTTTAAATATGGTTTATTAGCAAGGCATATATATATATATTATTATTTTGCTATCACGTAGTACGAGATTAGGACGTCGGCATGGAAACATCCTTTTCCTGCCCATGTGCATGTGCATAATCCAGCTTTGCTTTCGAAAACCAACACATAAAAGTAGTACCTACTGCCTGCAACCTGCGCAGCATGCGGCGAACAGACCGTCGCATGACGCGTTGTAACGCTGCCACCTGTTGAGGTTGCCATCAATGAGCATTTACAACCCTGTACTGACGGTTCGGGGCTGTCAATGAACATTACTACAGTGTACTAAAAACAGAACCCTGATTAATGAAATGAAGCATCGAGCCGATAAACGCGGTCGCCCATTTCGCCAGAACGTCGAAAAAGCCACCGAACACGGGGCATGTCCTGAGATGATGAGTAATGGCCGCCCTGCTCCCGCGGATGCCGAGCCACGCTTCGACAGTAGCCCCACTGCAGTGCTGCGAGGCTGCGACACGGGCTCAGTGACCCTGTCTCACTGACCTGGCCGTGTGCCGGTGCCACGTCTCCGTCAAGTCTAACAGCAATGCGTAGACCACCACCGTAGCCGTTGGGCGTGGGGGCAGCGGGTTGACTCGTCGCCATGGCGGAACGCCCGGCCAAAACTTCGAGTCCTGGTCTTCTGTCGCTTTGCGAGCTGTAGTTACACTTTACACGCCCGTGAGGCGCAAAGCGCGATGAAGAGATGTCTGAAACGAGACTAGTTCATGCCTTCCAAGAAGAAGAATGGATTCGTACAAAAGAAGAAGAAGAAGAAGAAGAAGAAGAAGAAGAAGAAGAAAAGAATCTGAATCTTCCGATCTTCATCTGTCTCTAATGAAAGCTCATGCTCCTGCTACTTGGCTGAACTCGCCTTCCCTGCATACGCGTACATCGATGGTCATCGTCTTCTCTCCGTTCTCCCCATCCTTGGGCGAAGACACCACTCTGCAGCAATTTCGCCTGGGGGACTGCAAATCAAGTTACATCGAATCAGTGACCCATTTATTTAGAGATGAAACATCGGAGTTGCCTAACTATAATACTATCCAGGTCCAGCTTTTCATATCGGCGGTAGCATCAGATTTTGTAAAAGTTACATCTTGGCATTGCAAACTCTGTTTTTCTTTTAGTACTACCTCTGTCTAAAAGAATGCAAAAATAGGTTGCATGCCACCTCGAGTGCTTCACGTTTAACAAATTTTAACAAATTTCTAGTAAATAATATTCACATTTATGGTTCTAAATTAATTTATTATAAATATACATTTCGTAATTAATCTAATGATATTTATTTTAAATCATAAATATTTAGGTGATATACTAAAATAGGATACTATCCTAGAATTACATTCTAATGTTTGAATCCAGTGACTAAAGTTTAGGAGGTATCACGTGGAGTATCGCATGAGTTTCGATACTAATAAAAAAAATAAATTACAGAATCCGTCGGTAATGCACGAGGCAAATTTATTAAGCCTAACTAATCAGTCATCAACATATGTTTACTATAGCACCACATCATCAAATCATGGATTCATTAGGCTTAAAAAATCGCTCGCAAAACAGTCTCGATATGTGCATTTAGTTTCGTAATTAGCCTATATTCGATACTCCGTGCATGCGTGAAACATCCTATGGGTCGAATAAAGTTTAGAGGTGAATCCAAATACCGATATTGCCTCTTACGGAGTAGCTGGCTGCGTACTCTAATCCAAGCAACCTAATGGTCTACGGCACAGTTTGGGTGATTCCGTGCTTTAAAAGAGTTTGGCTATGTCCAGCAATGCCAGCCAGTTTGTGCGTTGGCCAGTTGTCTGTCCTCTATAAAAATGGCAATGCATCATGTGTTGTAGTTATTTGGATGCTATGCAAGAGAAGAAAAAGGAATGATGTGGCACGAAAGATTACCCTGTCCCAGAGCCCGGGGTCAGGCTTCTTCAGGACGACGATGTGATCGAGATGCGCGTCCGGGTCGGCTATGTCCCACCGGCACGCGGGCCGCGTCTCGTTCGGGTGGCGCCACCGCTCGTACCGCGTCACCGTGGTCTCCCCTCCGCCGCGGCGGGCCTGGCGCCGCGCCGACGACAGGTAGTACACGGCGGGCTTCTGGCACGGGCTGCGCGCCAGGGGCCTCGTGTTGAACGCGTACGCCGTGTAGTCGGCGCGGCGGTACCAGTTGAGGAACGTGCGCGCCGGCATCTCCATCTCCCGAGGCGACATTATGCCCCTAGCCACCAGCACCGTGAACCCCCACGCCACGGACACCGTCCAACGGTTGGCGCCGTCGTAGCAGATGGACTGCTGCATCAGCCCCGCCGTGTCCAGCTTCACCGGTCCGTCGAACAGCCGCCGCACCGCCGCGGGGCGCGACCTCGCGTCCGGGAACAGCGGCTTCACGACGTCGAGGTGGTGCAGCGTCACGATCGGCGCAACCGGGTGGGACGCGAGGAGGCCCAGGAGGTCGCCGTACACGTCGTACTGGTGGAACCCCGGATGCTTGGTGAGCGGCACGCCCAGCTCCGCCATGCACGCCTGGATCCGGTCATCGCTGCCGTACAGCGCCGGGTACCGGCGGAGGCAGCCGTCCTGCATCCGCGCGAGCGCCTCGGCCAGCGGGCGGCTGATGGCGAAGCCGCCGCCGCCGTACGCCATCCCGTAGGAGAAGTAGATATTCTGCAGGTGGCTCTCGGAGAGGGAGCCGATGTAGTAGGGCTGGCGGTGGTCGAACTTGTTGAGCACGGTGAGGAGGTTGTCCGGGAAGAAGACGGTGTCGTCGTCGCCCATGACGAACCAGCGCACGCCGGGGAGGCCGAGGCGGAACGTCTCGGAGACGATGCGGGAGATGCGGATGGCGGAGCGGTGGCCGCGGCGGTGCGTGTAGGGGAACGCCGAGGTGTCGGACGAGATCCTGATGGCCGGGAGCCCCGTGCGCGCCGTGGACATGTTGGACTCGCGCACCTCGCGGTCCAGCCACACGTAGCCGCGCATGGCGCCGCGCGGGCGCCACCACACCTTGATGTACTCTTTACGCTTGTCCCAGAACCGCGACGACGCCGCGATGCCGAACACCACGTGCTGCAGCGTCGTCGCCGTGGACACAGCCGCGGCGGAAGGGGAAGCTGCTTCTCCGCCGCCGTCGCCGCCGCCGCCGCCGTGAGGTTGGCGGACACCCGGGAGACCGACGCGGCGTCAGGCGCGCAGTTGGAGGCGGCCGACGACGCGGAGGTGAGGAGGAGGTGCAGCGTGTAGAAGAAGTAGAGGGCGGTGAGGGGGAGGAGGAGCAGGAGGAGGAAGCGGAGGAAGGAGGCGGTGAGCGTCTCCTTCCCGCCCCCTCCCTTCACCATCCCCGTCGCCGTGGCTGCTGCTCCTCACGGCCTCACCGTCACCGTCTCGAACGAACCCCTCGACGCCGCCTTCCACCACTTACTTGCCCGTTGGCCGGCCGGGCCGCGAGGCGCCCGATTTCGCCGGCGGAATCAGAACCGGTGGGATTTCGCGGGGGCGAGAGGCTCACACGGGTCGCGCATTCCCCTCCGCATGTTGCTCCGCGCCGCCGCCTGCTGCCCTCTCTCTCCTCAGCTCGGGTTGTCTCCTCTCGGTCGGCGATTTGGGTGGGGGATCGGAGCGGTGGGTGGGTCGGCGAGCGCTTCGGTTTCGTGCCCGCTTTTGCCCACCTTTTTCTCCCCGTGCCGCTGCTGCTGTTGCATGCCTGCTGCCTGCGGGCTGCTGCTGTAATACTAATGGCGAGAGAGTATTTATTAGCGCGGCCTGGAGATCTGCTGCTGACGCTGGTATCGTTAAGTTTGGTCGCATCCAGCATTCACTGAACCATGCGTGTGTGAAGAGAAGGGAGAGGAGTAACTCAAGGGAGAAAGGATGTAACGGTTGGTTTCGTTATTAAGTTCGGATTGTTCTGGGCGGTGAAGATTTGGTAAAACCAAATCGAAGCGAACTAAAAAGAGTTTCATCAATTGTAATTGATAACGGTTTATTCGGTTTTAACGAAAAACGGAACTAAAAAACGAACCGAAATTTCGGTTTTTGAAATTTTAGCAAACCGCTCGTCATTTTCGAAACCGAATTTTTGAAAACCGAACAAATTGGAAGCGGTAAAAACCGAATTTTGCTGGGCTGTGAATTTTAAAAACAAATGGAGTAATTGAACTAAAGAAACGGAAGATTTGGTGCTCGTGTGGATCGGAGCCAGAATTTTGCTGGAATTTGCGTATTTCGTTGCCCCATTTGCGACGTACTACGCGGTTTTTGCTTTTGCAGGACACACAGCTAATCAGCTATTCCCGGTTTTGTTGGTAAAAAAAAAAGGCCAGGCATTTGTTTTCCTTTTATGCACGCCATTTTGTTTGACGGAGTATTCGCGAGCGTATATACAGTGCAGACCATTTTGGTGCTCTATTAACTAGCTCATCACATAGTCGCCACGAAAATTCGAGTAATCGTCGGCTCTTGTTATATGGGAGCAGTGGCGAATCCATAATCCGAAATGAAGTTCATAGTGCGTGCACGTGCTATTTGGATTATTTTTTACTTTTTTTTTGTCGAGATCACACTTTGTGGCCGTTTGTTTGCCTTCAAACAAGCTCCGGCCTCGGCTCCTTCATCACTAATGAGCATTGTGTTGTCCTTACGTTACCGTAGCGGATAAAATAAAAAGCTCCGGCTCCGGCACATACAAAAGAGGAGCTGGAGGAGCCGTAGTCTGAAGGGTCCTCCTGGCTCCGCTGCATTTGCGCTATAGTAGTGCTACATTTGCAGAGCCAAAGCCCCCCGCTGCACCAAACACTACCTTACTATGTATAGTGTGAATGTCTAGGGTTCTGTCATCGTCAATCATCATCATCCACGTGCTCTTTCTTCGACTCCATCAACATGAATGCATTAGAACTCCTTAATATAGTACGACCAAAAAAATTCTAATGCACCAAAAAAGTGTGCTTAGTTGTCGGGGACCAATACTAGGGTACCCAAGAGGAGGCATTACAATCAACATTGATTCATCAACACGGTCAAGAGCGCTTTGGTCTACTAAGCGCAAGCTCCGCCGCTCAAGGGCGGGCTAGGGTGCTTAGTCCTCAAGGGAATATCCTTTGTGAGGCATACCTGGGCGGGCTCAGGCTCATCACATCCAAATCTTTGGGCTCTAAGACACTTGCCTCTTGACCTCTGGGGGAACTCAAATGTGTATCCTGGGCTCGCCTCGCCCGGCCTCAGGGCACATGTTATTTCGACAACACTTGTGTTAATCATTCATCAAAACCACCAGGTTCACCCATTGGAGCATGGATGTCGGCCTCCGGGGGGACTTGCCTCGACCAACCCCGAGGCCGAGGAATGTCTCCGACAGAGACCCATACCGCCAACCACTCTAGGTCCAAGCGAATGGGTGCTGGGTCAAAGCTCGACAGGTGGAGGTGATCGGCATGCCCCGATATAAAGTGGCCGTGACGGGCCATCCACGGGATTCTAAAATGCAAGATGGAAGAGTGTTCTTAACCTCATACGAAAGCAAGCGGTAGCGCGTTAGTTCACCACGACGTCTGCTAGGACAGAGTGGAGTGCCACGACCGGAAGACGACGCCTGCGCATGACACCAGTGACAGATAAAGCCACGACGTGGAGCTGTCCCTATTGACGTCTACAGGGTCGACGGGACCCGCGTCAAGGAAAAGAAGGACCCGGTGATCCTAGAGGACTTCTTCTCCTTCTGATTCTCCTCTTTTTCCTCCGCTGTAACCCGTGCTTTCCCTTGGCCTATAAAAGGGAAAGCAGGGCATCCCATAAGGGGCATCGCAACACATCGCATCAATTCGGACTCGAACCCATCAAACCCCGAACCGATCAGAACACACAAGCACACAGCCGGAAAGCGACCGAGCTCTCTGCACCCGTTCGCTCCTCTCCCCAGAGACTTGGGACCTATCACTCTCTCGATCGTTTATAACCCCTACTATGAACTTTCAGTGCTAGTAACACGAGCAGCAGCAACGAACTGGGCATAGGGACATTCTGCCCGAACCGGTATAAACCTCGTGTCCTCTTAGCACACCATCCGAGCCAGATGCACAATATTAGAAATTTACTAGTCGGTGGCAACTCGAAACACCGACATTAGTCCTCAAGAATATCCTTTGTGACATACCTCAATCATCAATCCAAATCTTTGGGCCTAAGACACTTGTTGCTTGCGAACTCAAATGTGTATCCTGTAGCAAAGCACATGTTATTTTCACAACACTTGTGTTAATCAATCATCAAAACCACCAGGTTCACCACATTGGAGCATGGATGTGTTCACCGATGAATCATATGGTGGCACATATAGAGGGACTTGTGAAGTCTATGAGGGCCATCCAAGCCTAAAATGCAAGATGGGAGAGTATTCTTAGTGTTTACCTAGTCTTCTCGACTTAGATTTTCATCAAGAAGATATTGGAGGTTTGTCACTCTTGGTGTTTTCTAGCACCTAGACAGCCTAACGAAGGATTAGGTGACCTTCCCTATGAAGTTTCTTACGGGGAGGCTCCGATTGGTGTTCATGATTTGACGCACCATTCCAGAGTGGAGAAGGGGCATTCACTAGTGGAGTTTTAAGGCTTTGACTCAATGAGGGGACAAAACTAATTTTTGGTGACTCTTCGGTGCTCCAACATAGATTAGGGGTTGTGGATTATGTGCTTCAATGTTGATAGGAGGGGCACAAAATTTGGTTGTCACTTTACCTTCCTTTCACTCTTGCATTACTTTCATGTCTTAGCTTTGTGCTTTAGTTTTGTTTTGTGCGAGTTTAATTGTGTGAAAACTAGGATTCCAAGATAGATTGCACTTAGCTTTAGGTTTATCTTCCGCAACTAAGGACCTTATTCTTAGTGTGAACCTTACTAAGGACATGATTAGCTTCATGACCCTAAGGACTTCTCATTAGTGTGATCTTTTATAGTCCCAAGAGTCTCCGTGCAAGTGGTTCAGTAGACTTGCATAGGCCAAGGTTTGTTTGACTTAATTTTTAGACCCCAATTCACCCTGCCCCCCCCCTCTTGGGCCATTTGGAAAAAGATTTATATTCAGCCCATGTGTGCCCAATCGCTTGCATCTTGTTTATATGTAGGCCACTTGATTGTCTATAGTATGAGTGTTGGTGGTGAATGGCAGGGATGAACAAAATATGGCAAGTTGTAATTCTTTGTACCTTTTTACATACGACTTTATCAAGATATGTATTTCTCAAACATATGTTGTTTTGTCTCTTTATTGAGACTATGCCTAGGTGTACAATGCTTAAAACTAAACCGCATGAAAAATGAAGGAGACCTAAGAATATTTTTTCACCAATTACAAATCAAACGCAGTTGTTTCGGTGGTTAATAGAGGTAACACAACTCTTAAGCCTGATGGTTTGGATGAGGATATCTCACCCATTGCTCCTAACCGTGTGAAAGAGAAAAGGGTGCTTTGACATGACACCCCTAAGGAGAAGAATAAGAGGAAGCATTTTATAGATTGGTGCATGAAGTGTCTTGTGGATGCATATTAGTGAATGGCAACATGGCCATCATGGATATCATCCAATGGGAGCAAAGAAAGTGTTTAACATGCACATTTGTCACTTTGAAATGTGACCGAGTTCTTTTGAAGTTTCATTTTTAAATGAAGTGGTGTATTCTCTTAAAATTGTCTGCTTATCCAATAGAGAAGCAAGAAACAAATATAATTACCTATATGGCTCCTCACAACTTTATTAGAGACAGTGCCATGCATGATGCAAATTTTGAAAGATGTGTCAGAGATGGGGATCAAGCTGGCCAAGCTACACAAGATATTGGATGTTTGTTTAGTTGACAACATGGATATTGAAACTTTGCAAGATTATATTGCAACAACTTTGGTAGTATAGTATTGAATGTTGCAAACTTATTACTATGGACCAACTTGTTTTGCACACACTTATGAATGTTGAATTAGCCAATATATTTTTAAAGGTGTGTCTACATGTGGAGAGCCTATCATTTTTTTAAAGGAAAAATGATATAATCCTTATACAGCCTAAAAACATAGTCCAAAATGCATTATATGCTTATTCATTAGCAAAGTAAGACATCATCAACTCCAGGGACATTTAGGTCATTTTATACTTAGCACAGACAATCTCCTAAATAGAAAATTAGGATCACCAATACACTCAGATTGTCTAGCCAACGGATTCTCTAGATAGATAGCTTCTCAGAAAAATCTCTACTAAAATCACATCCCAAAAATAGGGTCATAGTGGACAATTGCTACTACTCCTGCTATTACTGCAAACACAAGACACATTTTTATTCATCAATAG